TTTTCCATTTTATATTTTTTCCTTTTTTTGTCAAAAATCAGGTGTTCTCACTCATAAGTGGTTTTTAGACATAAACCAAGGAAAAACCAGGCTACAATTCACAACCAGAGAACCTAGACAACAAAGAGGACCTTAAGAAAGACATACATGAATCTAATCGACATGGGAAGTAGAAAAAGACAAGATCTCCTAAGTAAATTGGGAGTGTGGGGATCATGTGAGAGGGCAGAAGGGGAGGGGGAAGAAAGGAAGGGTGGCAAGGCAGAAATATATAGCTCAATGTAGACACTTTTAAAAAGTTCACTTCAAAGTCAGTATCACTAGGTTCTGAGATTTTGTTATCTTTATCCTTAATATTTTTCAACCGTCACAATGCTAAGCGCAGTAGATGCTCACCACTCTAAACTGATTAACTTTGAAGTGTGAACTCTCCATTGCTTGAAGTCTTACGCAGGTTCTCTAGTTTAAGGCAAATCAGGAAAGAATTACAAGAAATGAAGTATGTTAGAAATCAAAATTTTTAGTTTTTATTACATTTATTGTTTGTTTAGCATTTGAATGTATCCATGTGTCTGGGCACATGCTATGACATGCATGTGGAGGTCAGTGGACAACCTGTAGGAGTGGATCATTTCCTTCTGCTATTTGGATCCAGGGCAGCTGTTCTCAATCTGTGGGCCATGACCCTTTTGACAGCCCTCTCTCTCCAAAATATTTACATTACGATCCATAAAAATGGCAAAATTGCAGTTATGAAGTAGCAATGAAAACAGTTTTATGGGTGTGGGGTCACTGCAACATGAGGAACTGTATTAAAGGAACACAGCATTGGGAAGGTTGAGAACCACTGCTCTAGGAAATGAATATAGGTTGGCAGGCTCAGCAGCAAGCACCTTTACCAACTGAGCCGTCTTGCCCCTTTTATTGCTTTTAAAAATGGATTTGTAGATAGGCATGATATATGTGCCAGTTAGCAGATAACTCAAGTGAATATTAGCCCCGTGAATGGGAAAGAACAGTTACCAAATATACTCATTTAAAGTAGATCATCTTACACTAAAATTCCAAAAGAGCACCAGCAGCATGGCTCAGCACAAACAAACACTTGCCACCATGGCAGGATCCATATGGTATAAAGAAAGAACCAATTCCCACAAGAGATTGTAGAGAATGAGCTTCCACATCCACAGATTTTATACATATTCTTTAAAAAAAATGATCACCCTGATATCCCCTATTTTCGTGCCCACCTCTTCTCCCACAATAGTCCTTCCATTGTGTAAAAAGAGAGACATCTTCATGTTCGCTAACGACATATTAAATGTAACCAGTGGTGATGTAGGAGATCTGTCATTTTCCAAGTGTTGAAAAATAAGCATTAATTATGGTCTTCTAGATATTTGCAATGCTTTAAGTGTACCTAGGTTATTTGAGGCTCAGCTCCCTTACTTGTAAAATAGAGTTTGTGATAGTAATTGTTCACTGAAAAAAAAAAAAACATGATGTATAAAAGAACCATTGTGATGTCTGTTGTGTATTCATAGCACTGTATCCAATGTTGATTATATGTGTTATTCTATAAAGGTTGTTCTGTGATTTCCATTTTCTCTCCTTCCAGTTGGAGAATGGTAAAGAAGTTACTTAGTAATGTACATCTCTTTTCCATATTTCAATAGCCTCAGTGCTTACTTTATAAATGAATGTTGGTCCACTGTACTAACTGACATGGATGGGAGCTAGCTAGCCTTTATTAAACTGACTTAGTTGAAGTACAGTATGTCAGTGAAAGAAGAGCGTTTGTTTGTGGACCAGCATCATTCTTGGTACTATTCAGAGTCTTTATTTGTCATGACTTCCCAACAAAGAAAGCTGTTTGGAATTTCACTTTGACTTTCACCTGGGGGATGGTCAGTATTTAAGTGGTAGTTTCCCTGAGTTGTCAAAAAGATACACTTTTTCGGAAAGCAGTAAATGCCGCTGGCTCTGGGTGACCTCTCAGATGCGGGGCAAGAGCTCACCTGAAGGGTTTGTGGGAAAATGGCTCTCCCAGACTGTGTGTTAGATAGATTGTGGGTTGGTTTTCTCACTATGCTCTTCTGTCGTTTTTAATGTTTATATTTGGTGAAGGAGACCTGAAACTATGTCTAAATTGGGAAGAAAAACAAATTCTTAAACAACCAATCCTTATTGCATATCTGCATAGGAGGGAAGCTATAGGGTTTTGTTTTTACAGATTTTTTTTCTCAATATATAGAATTTCTCTTCCCTTGACTTGCTGAGACTTTTTGTCTTAATTGGCTATAGATGACTTTGAAATTTGCCAAATGCTCTCTAGTATCTGTTGAGAAATTCTGCCTTTAATGTGGTCTTAGGAATGTTGAGAGTTAATCAAACCTTGCATTTCATGAATAAGACCATTTGCATATTACATATAATTTTTGAAGAAATTACTGACTTTTCTTTGCTATTTTTTTTTTTTAGAATTTTTGCATCTATCTTTCTGATTAAAATCAGTCTCCAATTTTCTTCTGCAGTGTCTGTGATTTGGGTTAGCTAGAAAATGCTCCTGTGTCTTCAGTTCCGTTTGTGTGTGTACAGGGTGGTTATGATTTCTTTAAATGTTTTATGGAATTCACCACTGAATTATTTGCAAAATGAAAATGACCCCCTTAGTTTAAAATTCATCTGGTTACCTCTTTTCTATGCAGTTGTTGTTGTGATTTTCTCCTTTTGAGTAATTGGCCATTGTTCCATTTCGTCTGGAGGTCAGGGGGATCTGAGCTAATACTATCCTTTTGTTCTTCACTCTTGATGATTCCTCTCCTCTTTTCTTTGTCATTGTTACAGCATGAGGGATCAAGGCTGGGACCTCGAGCATGCGAGACAAGTGTTGTACCACTATCACCCGATCACCCTGTACTATTTTCCTTTTTTATGATCAGTAAGGCACTTTCACAAGATTGCTAATATTCTTAAAGATTAAACATTTAGTGCTATTATTTTTCCTCTACATTTTTTCTATTGTCTTTTATTGATTCATACTGTGGTTTGCCCACACAAACATACACATACACATCCATGCACATCCTGCGGCTTACTTTGGGTAGTAATATGTTTGTTTTTGGCTGTTTTGCTCTTGCTCTTTTGCTTTTTAAAGTAGAGGATTAAATTCATTGATTGGAGAACTTTTCTCTTCTCTAATGTTGGCAGTTAGACTTTCTCTGTTCCCTCTCTTGGTGGTGTTTAGTGGTTTGTGGAAGTTTTTGATACATTGAGATTTCTTTTTCATTCAGTCAAAAGACTTCATTATTTTGCTTTTGGTTTTCTCTGTGGCCCAGATATTTAAGATTCTCTTATTTAGATTAAAAATATGTAGAGGCTTTCATGGGCATTTCTCTTACTGGTTTCCAACCTAGTTTCAAAGTATTCAGAGACCATAATTCATGTGGCTTGCATGTATAAATAATTTTTGAGACAGAATCTCATTCAGTAGCCTAGACTGGCCTGAGACTCACTATGCAGCCCAGACAACGATCCTAACAAAGAGCAGTTCTCAAGCCTCAGTCTCCTATATGTTGGAATTACAGGCGTGTGCCGTCATTCTTACCTGTTGAGGCATCTCATGTGCTCCGGAAAATGGTGTATAAAGGATGTGCTCTCTGGTTCTGTTTTTCAGATGTGCATTAGGCCAACGTGATTGATCACGTGCTTCAAATTTGTATCCCTGTTTCTCTGCCTGCATGGTAAACATGAGAGGACCTCAAAACCAATTATAAATATTCTTGCCCTTCTCCTTGTATGGCGGCCTTTGTTTAATGTGTCCTGAATTTCCAGATGTGCTGCTATAATAGATCATTCTTATCGTGATAAGGATCTTATTTCCTGAAGTTTTTCAACACTAATGTAGTGTTATTATTCAATCTTTTCTTTGAACCTGTCGAACACATGTCATTTTTCATTTTGCCATTACTTTTAAATACTCCTAAGAAATTTAATCACAGTGCAGGTGGGCCTTCGTTTTCTGTTCACAATTTATCCCTTTTGAGATGTGTTCTCTGTAGACATTCAAATTGACTATTGACAGGATTAAGTTTGAGTGTGTTGTCTCGCTGTTATTTTTTTTTATTCATCTCATTATTTCGGTTTTCTTTCTGGCTTTGGGGGATTAATAGACACTTATATGATTTATTTCTCCCCTGTTGTTGGTTTTCTGTGTGTATTTCTTTGTTCCATAATTTTAATGATGTTTTAGCCACTAAATGTTGAATTTTACCGCCCGCTCCCAGCACATAATGAAATAAGAGATAGCTTTTTCAGAACCTTTGTGCAAGGCGGTGTGTATGAAGTGTATGCAGAAGGGCAAACGTGTGCTTTACACCCAATGTAGTGAGATCCTAAGGCACCTAAACCTGTTTGCATCATGACCAGGTTTAAATGCCAACGTGCACCGTTTCACGTCCAAATGAGTAAATCTGAGTTCTCTTTTCTCTTCTGTCACTGGGATAAATATGGACTGTTTTATATGTTCTCCTCTTATTTGCCAATAGTACTCTCATTAAGAATTAGAATTCAAGGCCAGGAAGATGATTCAGTTGGTGAAGTGCTGCACCAGCTTGCACACCTAAGACAGCCCATGGAAAGTGCCTGGGGCCCAGGCACACAGCAGTCATCCAGTGCTAGATGGGTGGAGTCTGAAGAATCCCTGGTGGTTGCTGGCCAGAAAAACTGAATCAGGGAAGGTCATGTTCAATGCCAGATCCTGTCTCAAAAATCAATATAGAGAGCAAGTAAAGAAGACAGCCAATGGCCTCTATGGACACACAATGAAAATGTCTACACCCATACAAAACATGCCCCCCACCCACACACACAGGAGGGTATTAAAATATCTAAAAAAAAAGACAGAGACTCCCATTTGACAGGAGAAGTGGGGTGTACTGCTGTAGGAGCGTGTGACCATCAGCTACAGCTGACCCCCTCATGGTGTTTCTGTTCCACAGTGCCTTGCTACGTGGGAATCATTCCTCACATCACAGACTGACCTCCCCTTGGAAGAAGACTCTGAAGATAAAATTTAATCCTGTTTGATCTTTGAGAGACAGTGTCTATCAACCAAAGTTGTTTTTTTCTCTGGATTGGCTGTGCCCTTTCTGAAGTGGATGACAAATGATTTTGCACTGTCTGGAAAACCAACAACTTAAAAACTCAGGTATTCCAGGTCATCAACGTGAATTTGTGATATAAATATATCTATCTCGATATATAGGTCTACTATATGATGTATATTCTATAGATCTATAGATCTGCTATATGGATAGATATTTATCTATGTCTATGTGGTTAGAAAGAGATTTAGTGTAATTTTAATTTGTTCTTAAATTTATGTGCCATTAATTACATATACAGGTTTTTTTTTCTTACATATTTTACTGTGGAACATTACATTTTTCAATATGTTGTAAAGACTTGGTTTTAATAAAATCTTTAATAAGAAACTGGTGTCTATGATATGTTCTTTGTTTTAACATTTTTAACATTAATTCCATATGTATTATCAAGGATATTATAGATGTACCTTAATGCCATCATAATTTACTTTGATATTAAGAACTTGAAATAAATATAAAAAATGATTTAATATTCATAACAATTTCTTAAACTTTTATTAAAAATTAAGTAGTTGTTCTCTACAATGTAAAAATTTTCCAAAAGGCTCAAATTGTTATTTGTCTTATTATTTAGAAATCCTCGTATAACCTCATTCACAATACCTAATGTATTCTTTTATGGTAGTTTTTTTCATATCTTTACAATTCACAGCCAGCTTTTTTTTTTTTTTAAGGCATCCAGCATCTTGAGTCTACCTCTTACTATGCTATAAGTGATTGAGGGAGACAGTAATGAAGAATGTTTGCGTGTGTTTCACATTAGCACATGGCCACTTTATGACTTGAAAAGCACAGGTTTCCTCTACTTTCCCCTAAAGCAATTAGCACAAAAAAAAAAAGACCATGTTTAAATTTGAGTAGTACATGCCAATAACTATTACAGGGACTCAATGAAAATCAAACTATAGTACTACAAAACATTCCTAACTTATATAATTGCTTGAAGGCAGGACATCTAGTTCTTTCTAAAGAGTCCACTCCCTCTTTTCATTTCAGTTTCCTGGAGAACATTAAAAGCATTTGACCTTACCCCACTAATCAACTCATCAACAGAATCTCGCTATGTCATCCTGGCTGGCCTGGAGCTTGCTATGTAGGTTAGGCTGTCAGAATTCACAGAGATACACCTGTCTCTTCCTCCCGAGTACTGGCTTACTCCTTTGGTAGAATGCTCATCTTCCATTCAGTTCACAAAGCCCTGGCTCAATCACTAGCCGCATATAAACTGGTGAAGTGGTACCTGCCTGCTCTCCTTGTTCTTAAGGTGGAGGCTGGGGAATCAAGACTTTCTTTGAAGAGACTCTTTGGCTACATAGCAAGTTTGAAACTAGTCTTTGCCACACGAGACACTGTTTCAAATATCACACACACACACACACACACGTATGTATAATAAATCTACTTATCTGTGGGCAAGAGATTGTTGGGTGGGCCGGGGGCATGGTGGGAGACAAGGGTAGGGATGAGAGCTGCAAGGCTTACCACCTGACTTGGAAGAACTGCTTAGTCTGTTCTCTTCACAGATGCAGCATCCCATGTTTATTGCTGATATTTCTTCTTTTTTCCATTTATTCACTCTGGTTTCTAAGGCAAGGTTTCACTTTGCAGCTCAGAACTGACTGAAAAGGGAACATTAGTTGGTATATGTCTCCACCAAAAGTCTTGGGAGCTACTGAGTTTCAGCCTCAGCACTCCTTCAGGGTTCAGAACAGACTTCTACGACAAGCGAAACTATCTTGGGAATGGGATCTGAGGGGTAGAACCAACTGACTGACTCGGGCACATTTGTCCTGCCTGTTTCTTTGTTTTTTGGTGGAAGGTGAGCAGAAGGTCATAAGGGATAAGGCATAAGGGTAAAAAAAGGGGGGGGGGGTGATCTTCACAATGCTTTTAGACAAGTTAACAATACGAACAGCATACAGACAAGTTTACAGTCCCATAGACTGTAACAATAGTATCAAGTATGTATTTTCAGAGTCACAAGAAACCAGTGGATCTGGCAAGGAGGTGCTTTACATCTCAGAGAGAGTGTGGCTGGGCTCACTGTGTTGGTAACTATACTAACCTGTGGGCTTGATTTGCATTAGCATCTAGCTGGTTGAGTTAAAAGGAATCTCTTCTGCAGACCCTACTTTTGACTTCACGATACCCAGGTGAGAATTTTTCTCCCAAAATCTAGCATTAGTGACTCAGGCCTTTTTCTGTATAAACTACTAATTTCCTCGGCTATGATTTTATGTTAGTTGAAACCAAGGTAAATGGTAATGCAGAATATTAGTAGCTTGTTAAGTCGGAGGAGAAGACCAGTAGCTACACCTTCTGAGTCTTCTGTTAGAGAAGCCGTGTTTATCTCCTATTTGAGGCTCCTTTTTTTCAGTGGCTTCTGTAAAGAAAGTTTGTGGGGGAGTATTTTTATGTAGATTTTGGCTGTGAGAACAAGGACTTGACTGAATCCTTTTCACACCATGGCTTCATGGTGTGGGGATGTATCTGATTGTCCTACAGGAAAAGTCAGATTTATACACTGCTGGGATGCTATAGAAGGGAAAAATGCCGTAATTTCACAACATTTCACAGAACTGATAATAACTGATCCAAAGGACAGATGTCCCCATAGCTCTGCACAAACAGGTTACTCCAAGTAGAATGTACATATAGACTTCCCGTGGATAGTCCAATAGAATTGTCAGCTATATATTTACTGTATAATACTTGTTGGCTCACCACTCAAAAGCAGATGAGCACAAAGATATCTCCAATGTATCCCCACACAAACACATTTTAAACAGAAAATCATGATTTGTATATATTCCCAAGAATGAACATATGCCCATACAAATGGGCCTTCTTACACCAACCAAGACTACCTTGAAGATGAATTTATGTTGCTCTGGAGCCTGGTATCTGCTTGGGATGTCACATACGTGCTAAATGACTTAATTCAAAAATTCCTTTATCTAAATCCACTATTGCTTGTCTTGAAAATTGTGTAACTTTTCATATGTCATAGATAAATCTATGCTTCACTCAAAACCTGTTGATTAATTAGTTTTTATTGCCTTTGGAACTTATTTTTTCAAATCTTTCTCTTAATTTTGTGCTTTTGTTTGTTTGGTTTGGTTTTTGGAGATAGTGTTCCTATGTGTAACCCTGACTGTCTAGAAACTCATTCTGTTGACCAGGCAGGCCTTGAACTCAGAGATGCCCTTGCCTCTGCCTCCTGAGTGCTGAGAATAATGGCATGTGCCACCACTGCCTGCTTTTGCTTTCAATTCTTATTAAATTTGACAAAAGAACAAATCGAACTAAAAAAGGGAGAAGATTGATCCATTCATGTACCCAAAAGGAACTGGACAAAACTGGTTCTGAGCATTCCTATTTTACCTCTGTCTCCTTACACCTCTGATATTGCTTGGCACCATTGCTTCACCTATCCACGAGGCTCTATCTGGGATTCTCAACTGGTAACCAGTTTGATCCTCAGAGGACATCCAGCAAAGCACAGATGTATTTTTGGTGGTCACACTGTGGGGAGGAGGGTGCTCTTAGCACCAATAGACTGAGATCAGAGATGCTGCTCAATGTCCTGGAGTACACAGGATAGCCTGTGACAATGAAGTCAGCTCACAGAAAATGTGAGTGGAGCTGAGACTCAGAACCTTGGCTTAATGTGGAGCATTAGCTCATTGCTCATTGGTTTCCACTTTGTACAGAGAAAGACATTGTCCCTTCCATTGAAAATCCCCAGGGAAAATGGTTTGGGGAAAATAACCTGCCCCATTGTCATCTCCACCATCCAGGCCTGCAACAGGTCATTCCTTGTGCATAGGAACCAAAGTTAGTGCATCCTTCTAACCAAATACAGTAGATAGGAATGTTATGGCCAAATGAAAAATGGGCAGACTACATGACAAATGTTCATCATCCAAAAGAAAGGACATTGATGCCCACAAGAAAGAAGAATCTTGGTCCTGGATCAAAGGCTCAGCACTTGCTGCACTTGCTGAGGATTAGAGCTAGGTTCCCAGCTCAACAACCTGTGGCTCCAGTTCTAAGGGACCTGCCACCTTCTTCTGGTCACTGAGGGCACTAGAAATATGTCTGGTACACATGCATAAACTTGGGCAAATACTCATACACATAAAAAGTAGAGAAACAAAAGGGTAAAATAATCACATCACATGTCCATAATGCAATTTTAAATGAACATGATCCATGTAGAATTGCGTTACATTTACTTAATTAGCACTGTTCTTATGCCTGAAGTTCTTCAGCAAGCAAGGACTAATGTAAAAATGGCTCTTCAGAGAACATGGATGAGAAATTACAAGTGTAAATAAGCCATTAGTGCAGTGCCTATAATTACATAGAAAGTCAGTCATAATTTTATTGGCTAAGGAATAGCACAAGAGTATGAAATTAGAGCTGTTAGTCTGCTCGTCTATATTAAGAATAACCTTTACATTAGATTTGATTGAACATGAGTTTAGTATGCAAAATGCATTCCTATCCTAACTACTGAAATGAGATTCCATTGAGACACATCCCTGTGGAGAAGATAATGAATGATAAGGCTGTGATCTTCTCTTTAACAAGGAGGTTCAGCTGTGATTATGTTACCATGAAAGGAACAAAGAGGCACGGCTACATTCACCATTCCCTGAAGTTCAAGTTCAAGCTACTGTTTACAGAAAGTTCAAAGTCATGGAAGTTTCTGTGGTTAGAGATTTCTTTTTCTGTTTTTATTTTTATTTTTATTTTAAAGCCAGGTTGGTGCCTAACAGTTTAATGGGTTTAATGGCACTTGCACACCTCAGTTAAGTGTCGACACAACTGTAACATGAATCCCTTAGTGTGTCAGGCAATTGCTGAACCCCATCATCATAGTGATACTTTGACCGGACCTCCCTTTTATAATGCACCTCTTCATTCAGGTGTTATGAGACAGAGAGGGCTCTGTTTTGGAAGCAACTGGTTTGATACACCCGAAATGAAACCTTTATCAGTACAATATTACAGAGAAACACATTCATGGATCAAGCAGTAATGTAGTCATTTATATCCTTGTATGTGATGATTTACGAAGGACTTACTGTGGCATTTTCTTTCGCATTATTTTTAAGTAGTGTTCATCTTATTTCTTTTTCTTCTGAGGATAAAAGGGACAACCAAACATCTCTAACAACTGGAGAGTCACAAACACCATAGTGGTATGACCTCCAAAATATCTGTCAACAGTCCATCCCTCAGCTGGACTTAAGAGCTGAGCTCAGGGTGAGCTACTTGAATTTTGTCTTTCCACTGATATGCTTAGTTATCCTAGGATC